AGACCCAGAGAATATTAAACAAGAGGATCGCGCAGAACCTTTGCATGCACGGATATTGCAAGACATATTAGAGAGGTAACATTATTGTTGTTGTTTTTTGGGGGGGGCTAAATCACGTTTTAGATAGGATGTCAACAACCACTTAAAAATAGCTGCATTTACTATGTACAGATAAGTGCATTCATATTATATTTATTGTTATTTAATTCTAACATTATAACGTGAATTGCAGTGAAACTCCGTCAGTTTGAGCTCCGCTCAAAAACACTGCTTTATCAGACATTACATGCCAGATTAAATGAAAATTACATCCATTTTTCTGAAGACAGTCGGTTTCCTTCAGAAATACAGTGATATAAATACACCCGCACTCAATGAATGGGAAACACTGTAGTCTCAAAATTGAAGTGTAAATTCTGCAGATTACATCATTGTCCAGTATTGTACTGTCAGCAATTTATTATAAAAACATTTCATAATTGTAACATACATATTTACATACATAATTATTCAGGTGCGTGTGTAATAACTTGCGAAAACTTGAGACTACAGCAGCACTTCTTGTTCCTCGTCGTCTTGTCTGATGCACTCAACCAAGGATTCTAACCACGACCTTGCCCCTCCCCACCCCCCAACCATTCAAATTTCCGTAGGCGGGAATTATTTTAATTGTATTCTAATGGGTCGCTTTGTGATATCACAAAACCCGGAAAACAAAGCTGTAGTCCAAACGAGCTGTTCGTTGTAGTTCTTTGAGATTTGTAAGTTTGAAGATCTTTTTTATGCCCAATCATACACACTACACACTGACTAAAATTAAAAAAGTGAAAAAGCATAATAGGACCCCTTTAAATTTCACTTTTAGACTTTAACATTTATAACTCATTAAAAAATAGATCACAGGTGTTCACTTTACATTAAGGTTCACTTTCACAGGTTATTAACGTTTATAACTCATTAATAAATGGTTCACAGCTGTTCACTTTACATTAAGGTTCACTTTCACAGTTTACTAATGTTTATAGGTCATTAATTAATGGTTCGCATGTGTTCACTTCATATTAACGTTCACTTTTAGACATTATTAACGTTTATAACTCATTAATAAATGGTTCACAGTTGTTCACTTTACATTAAGGTGCACTTTCACAGGTTACTAACTTTTATAGCTCATTAATAAATGGTTCACAGGTGTTCAATTTTCATTAAGGTTAGGTACAAGTAACTAATATTGGAACTAAAATTTTCATTATTAATATTTCATGAAGTCATGGTTGTGTTTTCCAGTTTTATATCATTACTGTGGACAGGCGACTTTTGCGGAGAATCATGGGTAATGTACAGAGTAGCTTCTGGTAAGAAAAATCGTAAGAAAAGTGACATGAGATATGAGAAAATATGAGTCATGAGATATAAATGAGAAAAACATAAATACAAAACACTTCAGTCTCTATATAATAGTCTATTTTTGCTGCATCATAAAATAAATCAGGAATCTGGTTTTGAGTGAAAAAGTATGAATAAATGTATTTATTAAGCATTTATAACGTGAGTTAAAATGGCTCACTATTTGACAGGTATTGCATTAAAATCACTCTTTTTATTTGCATTTATAACTGCTTATCAATGATTTATAATGCATTTGTAAATGAGTTATTAGTCATTTATAAACACATTTCTAAACATTATAAATAGTATTTTCCCTTCATAAAGGGAACCTTAATGTAAAGTGTTACCAACAGATATAATTTTGTTTGCGATTTATTGATCAGTATGTAAATATAGCTTTACTTCCTCACTGTCTGATTTGCGGAGATTTTACATGAAAAACGATTTTGTGTATCAAAAGATTTTCACTTTTACCACAATAATCTTATGATGATCTCTCTTTAATGAAACATTAAAGTATGTAATGTACTTTTTTAATCTTTGATTGATGCACCCTGAATTCTTTTAATAATAATTTCAAGTGTTTTTTTATTGTATATTTGTTTCAAAAGTTATTAGCAAATAAAAATTTAATAAAAGGGATGTTTTCAGACACTACCCAAGAACTATGAAAATTGTGCAAAAAGTTTTTATCATACAGTTCTAGTATCTATAAAATAAGAGGGCTGTCCACACAGGACATATTTTTGCATTCTATTGCGCCACTTTTCCATTTCCATATGTAAATAGTCTGACATGTTTGACTTTTGCACTCGAGTCTTTCACATGACAGTAAAAAGAAATTAAACATGTAAAATGTCTCTACTGTAGAGCTTGCATTCCATTGCCCTGCAACTCTGTAGGGTGTTCTGTGTGAATGACCCCTAAGAGACACAGTATATGCCTCAACACCAGTGCTTGGCCTCTAAATCCTCCTTGATGGATGCCATGGTAGCCATTCATAACAGTGATTTTGCTATAGCTATAGCTGATAGTGTGAGGGTGCTGTTGGCAAACATTTGAATGCATATTTCTGTAGTAAGATAAATAATCAGCCTGAGCTGGCTAAGTAGACAAACAGTTTAGTCAATGCGTAGTGGCATGTTGTACAAGCCTGAGCTTGGGGTTTATTGACTGAGGTTGGGATGCTTGGTACTCACAATTTTATTGTTGAACGAATCTATGATTCAGTGCTTTAGAACAATAGCTTAGATTTTTTTTTTTTTAATTGCTGATTACATTTTTTACAACCTGTGCCTTTGTTCAGGATTGTATAAAGAGACTACAGCATGGTTTGCTATCCAACATTTCACATCTGACAATGGCAACTGAGAGTGTAAGTGCCTCTTTCTCCCTGATTGTCTGTGTCCCACAGTTTGTCATGATGTTTTAGCACAATGCAAACTACTAGTGTTGTGTTTTGTCTGACAGATTGTGTTCTATGAAGACAGGAACTTCCAGGGAAGGTCCTATGAGTGTAAGGGAGACACAAGTGACCTTCATTCTTTTTTTAGCCGCTGTAATTCTGCAAAGGTGAAGGGGGGCTTTTGGGTGCTGTATGAGTGGCCAAACTACATGGGCTATCAGTATATCCTGACCCCAGGGGAGTATCCAGATTATCATCATTGGATTGGCTTCAATGATTGTGTCCGATCTTGTCGTCTACTCAGGCATGTAAGTCCAATGGCAACACACATGATCACTTTGAATTTCTCTCAGTGAGTAATAAGTAAACAGTGTGATTAGGTGTATACATAGGAACATCATTTGTGTTTCCTTCAGGTTACTGGACATCTCAAGCTGAAGCTCTTTGAGAGGCCCAATTTTGATGGCCAAACATGGGAAGTTACAGAAAGCACCCCATCCATTCAGGAACGTTTCCTCTGTAGAGAGATCCATTCCTGCAAGGTCCAGGAAGGTCCCTGCGTGTTCTTCGAGCATGCAAACTACAGTGGCCGTCAGTACCTCCTTGAGAAGGGAGAGTACAGACGCCACACTGAATGGGGGGCCATGCATCCCACTGTGGGCTCTGTTCGTCAGGTCACCACAGACTGTTGAATTGAAAACTTGTTGTCACTACTACTGAAAAATATTGAAGAATAAAATAATTTGAATCATTGCATTCATTTATGTGAGTTGTGTCTATTTTTGTCTGGTTGCCATAAAACAATATAAAGCTGAAATACTCCTAACCTATTAAGTAAAAAAACATTCTTACACGCTAGTTTATCATTTATAGTTCTATGAATGACTGCTTTGTAAAGTCAAATCAAGTCACCTTTATTTTTATAGTGCTTTAGTAAGTTTTAGCAACAGTAGTGTTGTTATTCAGTTTAATGTTGAATGTTAATTCAATTCAGTTCAATAACAGTGTTGATGTTGTAAAATTAATCAATTATGAACAAATTTGATGCTGCTATAAAGGAGCTCTACAGAAGACAATAGTGTCATTATTCAGCTCAGTTCAGTTACATTCTAGTGGTGTTCCCTTCCTACAGCGTCAATGTGATAATATTACTGAATATTAAGTGTCTTTAGACCCCCAGCTTAACGAGCCAAAGGCAATGATGGCAAGGAGCCCAAAATCAATCAGGTGACAGAAATTGAGAAAAAATAATACCTTGGGAGAAACCAGCCTCAGTCAAGGACCAGTTGTCCTCTGGCCTAAATGAACAAACACAGTGTGATATTGAGCACTGAGTGGTATTTGTGAGTTCATACAGTGTGTGCAGCTCTTGAGCAGAAATGGTTTCAAGTAAGTGTTACGTATTGTATATTTTCTTAAACCAAACCCACTGAACAAGAGTTGTCTGACTCTGACATAAATCAGACAAACAACAACAGCAGTCCAATTCCTGAGCAACTTACAAAGCAAATCACAATCAGTTTTATCAGATTATATTACATTTACTGTATATAAGATTAAAGGAAGTTATAATTTAAAATATAATACAACATTCTATATATAATGTTCTTATCAGACAGTGTGAATTTAGACAGAGCAAAAAGCTATTTTCAGTAATTCCACACACTGTGATTAGATATTTTACTTTATAATTGCATAACAATTTGTATAATTCCATTTTTACCTTATAATAGCATATAACTTTATTATTTTTATTTACATAGCATCTCTCTTCATTTATGATATATGTAACCTGTTTTAAACTTAGTATACAGTAAATAGCCAATTTCTTGTTTTAATATTCTTTTTACGCTTCTGTCTGACAGTAGAGCAAGAGTTTGGTGCAGCGTACAAACACAAATGCATCAATTCATTTGGCATGTGTTACACCTCATTCAATATGAACATGTGGCTTGATGCCAATTAATGCTGCTCCAACTATGCCAGTACCAGCATCTGGAAAACAATTTAATTAGCCCAATAAATATTTTCTGGACTCAGCCATTGCAGAATCAAAAGGATAGGGTTTCATACAATGGCCACTGCATTAATCTGCAGGAACAATCTAGAAACAATCGCAGTATCAGCTTTTGATGATGCAGTTGCTGCGACCATTCATATAACAATGATTTGCCTGGCAGAGCAACTCAATGTGAAACATATAAATCTCGCTCATTGCTCTTTCAATACAAAGAATACATCAAAAGGAGGAATGAAATTAACCCCAAATATGGACAAAATGGGAAAAGTAAGACATATTTTGCTTGCATAAACTGGCTCTGCAATCTTTTCCTTGGCTTAACTATGTTTCTACATCTTCTCCCATACAGATTATCTTTTATCAGGACAAAAACTTTCAGGGACGTTGCTTTGAGTGCAGCAAGGACTGCCCAGAGCTGTCATCCCACTTCAGCCGCTGTAACTCCATCCAAGTTGAAAGTGGGGCCTGGGTTTTGTATGAACGTCCAAACTTCATGGGCTGCCAGTACATCCTAACCAGGGGAGAGTATCCTGATTACCAGCACTGGATGGGATACAATGACTCTATAAGGTCTTGCCGCATGGTGCGAAATGTAAGTCATGCCTGTTTGGAGAAACATAGCTGGGCTATTTACCCCAATACAGGTCTATGTTCCTCCTTTTCAGCAAAAACGGTTGCCCACACCAACATATACTGTATGCCACACTAACCATTCAGGAACAGCATTATTGGCCCTAAACTTTGGCAGATGTGGAATAACACTCTATTGTTCCCTACTGGAAGTTTATTTTGATCTTGGAGGGGGTTTAAACAAAAAACCCAGTATGCATAAACTAAAATTATTTTTTGAATAATTCAGTGCCCCATTAGTATAATTTTAGGTGATCCTAGATATGATTCTGCTCATTCTACAGTAAATGCATTGTAATGGTATTTGGCTGTCCACTCTCTCTTTTGTAGCATACTGGCATTTTCCGTGTCCGTCTGTATGAGCGGCCTGACTTCCAGGGTCAGATTATGGAGTGCAGTGAGAACTGGCCCTCTCTCTATGACCGCTTCTGTCACCATGAGGTACAGTCCTGTAACGTTCTGGATGGGGCCTGGGTCTTCTACACTCTTAAAAATAAAGGTGCTTCAAAAGGTTCTTCAAGCGATGCCATAGAAGAACCATTTTTGGTTCCACAAAGAACCATTCAGTCAAAGGTTCTTTAAAGAACCATCTCTTTCTTACCTTTTTATAATCTGAAGAACCTTCTTTCGCCACAAAGAACCTTTTGTGAAACAGAAAGGTTCTTCAGATGTTAAAAGTTCTTTATGGAACCATTTAGACAAAAAGGTTCTTCTATGGCATCGTGAAGCACCTTTATTTTTAAGAGTGTATGAGCATCCTAACTACAGGGTGACGTCAGTTTTTGTTGGAGAGAGGCGAGTTCCGCCACTTCACTGACTGGAGTTCCATGCATCCTACTGTCGGCTCCATCTGCCGTGTTCAGGTGTTTTAGGTCTTTTCAGTTAATTGTTCCTTAACTATTTAATAAAAAATGACACTGAGCTCTCCCAAAGCTCCAGTCTCCTGGTTTATTTTGTCCAACTTAAAAGTCAGTTGGTCTTAAAACAAAGAATTTAAATAAAGACCATGGAATTTTTATATTATATTAAATAAAAAAAAAGCAATGTCATGAAATATTATTACAATTGTTTTCTATTTTAATATATATTTTTTAAATATATCTATACCTGTGATAACAAAGATTAATTCTCAGCAGTCAATATGTTGTCTTCAGTGTCACAATATCATGACCTTTAGAAATCATTCTAATATGCTGACCTGGTTTTATGCTTATGCATTTTGTTTAGGATTCTTTGATGAATAGAAAGTTCAAAAGAACAGCATTTATTTGAAATGTAACTATTGTATTACCTTATAATTGTCTTTACTGTCTCTTTTGAGCAATTTAATGCGTCATTGCTTAATAAAAGTATTAAAGGGATAGTTTACCCTGACCTTACTGACCCTATATTAAATTAAATAAATAAATAAGTGTGTGTGTGTGTGTGTGTGTCAAATGTTAACCATTTTTTTATATATTTATCAATTGTCTTCTCATAGCTTTCAGCATCTGCTGTTGATATAACTCAATACTCCCCTCTGTTGGTTTATTGCTTCTGAATAGTCTCTTACAAACTTAGATTTTAAAATGTAAAATGTTTTACTTCTTGCGTTGTCGCCTCTGGCGTTGTCGCCTCTGGCTTGCTTAGTTGGGGACACTTCATTTCCAGCGATATCGTTGACATGATTGCAAAGATATTATTTAAACTGAGCTGGATGTTGACATCACTGAATTCAATGATGAACTGTCTTTAACTGAAAAATTTGTTTACTATTGTCATTTTGCATTATTGACACACTATTTTCCTAATTAATGCTGTTCAGTTGCTTTGACACAATCTGTATTGTTAAAAGTGCTATATAAATAAAGGTGACTTGACTTGACTTGACTTCTGTTACATTTCATAGAATACAATAAACCAGAATTTACATTTACATTTATGTCATGACAAACTGTACATTTTACGATAAATAAATAAACAATGAATTAACTGAAACATATTTGATAAATACAGTTGCATGTAAACACTCATGAGTTTATTTAAAGTTTATTTATAATCTACATGACAGACTACATGACAACTCAGGTTGAAATAAATGGTTTAAAAATAAACTGCCTCTTCAGGCTTTTTGCAGTACTGACACTGAGGTCAGGAATTTTGTTTTTGCTACCAGTACCTCATCACATGAATATACATACCACACATGTTTTTAACCATTTGCATGTGAGAATGAGTGCTTGTGTGTTTGTATAGGCAGAGAGAGAGAAAGAGCATGAGCTGCCAGTTGTGTGAGTTGCTGGTCAATAACCCCTGCTAAATCTCCCCATACAATAGTTCAGGCCATGTTGATGACTCAGGAGCTTTTCCAGAGTTCAGAATATGCCCAAAGTCCACAATGCTGATGCAGACCAGAGAGGGACAAGAGAATGCTTGAAACAAAAGAGGATTTTTTCTGCACAAAGGCCACCAGCAAGCACTTTTTTCCACTGGTGGGCCCACAGGGCAGCACGTATCTGTTGGTCCAGATTCCTCCATAGGCATCCAGCACTGAATGGAAGGATAGTTCACAAAGTTCACATACTAGTATTTGAGCTAGTACATTTTCTGCTAGCCTGACAGCGCCCTCTTGTGGTAGTCATTTTTATAACTTTTTAACATATGGTGCTCGGATGACTTTCCTTGACACATTCCTAGATAATTATTTTGGATAATTGCAAAATCTAGTATGTACTGTAATAAGATTTTTTAAATTGGTTTTATTGACATCCACTGTAGCCAATTATCATATTTAAAAAGAAATTAAACAATGTTGCTTTATATTTTATATAACTAACTTTGGGTTAAAACAGCATAAAACAGCAGCAGTAAAGTATTTTCAAACTCCCAGCATGCCAAAGTCACACAACATGGTGGCAATACGATTAAAACCATTGCTGACTTTATTGGAAACTTCTAAGCATTAAACCTGTAGTACTTTTTTCACAATTCTCAAGTTTAGTGACTAAAAAATGCCAACATTGAATGTTTAGTGATTAAAGAAAATGCAACAGTGGCTTTCTGCAGCCAATACATTTTAATAAATTTTTTTAGTTTAGTTTAATATTACCATATCCTATATAAATCATTAATAAACTACTCCAAATGATTTTTGAATGTACTGAGATTAACTAAATGAAGTATCAACCTAGTTTACTGAGAAGAGTTTTATAGAGGTTAATGCAACACTGTAGGTCTTTAAATATGCATTTTCAGATACTTTACAAGGGCATGGTGAAGTGTGGGAATGCTCCAGGATCATTAAAGTGTACAGAGTAATAGAGACTCTGAGATAAACATATCCACATTTCAGTCTCGTAGCTTGCTGGGATGTCGCCTCAAGAAGGTCAAAGCATAACTGCTTGTAGTTTGTATGTAGTAGTGAAATGTTTTTCAATATTGCAACACCAAAAAATTGACACAAAACAAAATATGTATAAAAGTCACATGCTACAGGCAAGTTTAAAGGCATAATAATAATACATAATCAGCATCAGCTTGGGTCTGTTAGGGTTTATCTTACGTTTTTAAATAATAGCTTATATTTTAGTTGTATTTTAATCAGGATACATCTTCTGCTAGATTTATCAGCTGCTACCATGTGTTACAGCTATGATTTAACAAGCTGGCAAAATATGTGCAGGTGTTAATTACCTGGCAGTTGCAATTGGGAACTGCAAGGTCATTGTGGAGACACCCCTGCTGCAATGTTATAGCACTGTTAAAAGATGGTGACCTCTTTAAATACAAGGGATTAATTATAAGACAGGCTTCTAAAGCAGTTAGCATATAATGCAATTTAAACCCAGTTACAAAATTTTATGATGTATTGCATACAGTAGTAAAAATTTCACATATTGTGTCACTGGCCTAATCTAAATAAAAAGTAACGTTAGTTTGATTTGTCTGGCCTGCAGTTATTTGTTTTACCATGTAAATGTCATTTCACATGTTCTTATTGCTTTCAGAATCACATTCCTCCAAGACCTATGAGGTTTTTAAACCTATGAGTCACTGATACAGGTCCACAGCTGAAAGGAATTACTTTAATCCCATGAAAAGAATGTAAAAAATAAACTTTCCAGACAAGACAATTGCCTTGTAAGGAAATGGCAACAGAGTCAGAGAGGGAAGAGGGGGCAGGGGAATAAAAACCACCACAGTCATCTATACAAAAGCCATTAAGTTTCTACAGTAATAATGTTGAAAGAGTTGTCTTGGGCAATGTAAAATCCAACAGTACTGTACAATGTCTAAAAAGTAAACATTATTATGTATTTACAGCTAAAAACTTATTTATGATTTACCATTTTGTAATCCTTTAAAACGAGACGTCAAACAGAACAAAACGGGAAATTATTTCATATTAAGTAAACTTTGTTTAATAAATGCATTTGAAAATGCTATTTATATGGGAACTGAATACAACATAAAATGTTAATGCCAGGTTTTCAATATTCATTAGGATTCATTGGTATGTCTGTAAAGTTGTTCATGTGTAAATAATTTACGTTTTAGATGCTGTCAATATTGTGCGTCTCATTGTCTATTGTCTCATTGTCTATTGTCTATTGAAACGTAATGTGTGTTAGAACCACACTTTATGAAAAAAAATCCTATGAGATCATGTTGCTTTTGTGGTCTGTTAAATATACGTTCTATAAAACTGGTGGTAGCCTAATCTTTAAAGTCCCCATGAAATCAAAATTAAAGTTTTTTGGGTGTTAGTATCAATATGTTAGTCTCAAGGTTATCTATAAGGCAATGTGCTCCAAAACAGTGACAAAATTTGCAATTTAGAAGATATAAGCATTCAAAGCTTGCAGTTCGTCACTTCCGCCAAAACGTACACATCGTATTTCAGCTTCTCATCAAACTTTCTGTCCAATCAAATGCTCTCTAGAATCCGAAGCGCCCACCCCCTACACTATAAAATAGACGCTGAAGCCGCAGCTGAAATCGGTCACTTGTCCACAGAATTATGCTGCCTGTTTCTAAGCATTTCAGGGGACCTTTAACCTTCTGTGCAGTCCATAAACTTCAAGAATAGGCAGAGCTCATTTAGTGCTATAGACTAATTGCCTGTATCTTCACACCTCGCTTCTCTCTTATCAGTATGGATGCATGAATTATTAAACAAAACCTCTTTCTTAGCTGGATTCCATTGAGATGCTTCAGATTTAAAACATATACCCAGACCTCACTTGTGTAACCACTTGTGTAACCACTGTGTGTAAAAAACTACACACTACAAAAGCCAAATTCATAATCTACACTAAAAGATTATATATTTAGCTTTAATAATTCTGACCATCAAGGCTAATTAAGATTCAGGTGAAAATTAGGATTCATTATTACATGGGCAGGCTGGATGGGTAAACTAAAGGCAATCTCACTCCTTTATGGTGATGCCAGACAGACTGGTGGTACACAGGCCCAGAACGGCATGCTGGGTCCTTAATGATGGGCCTCGGCCTGAGGTTCATTAGATGTCCCTCCTAGTG